AATTAGAATAACTAAAGTGAGTCAAATTGAGTGAAGCTACTAAAAACAAACAAAACAATAAAAAACCTCATTACAAAAACTACTAACTTTTTTCTTGTATAACATAAATATTATACCTGAAGTATTGTACACATCGGAGTTTAGGAAGTAAAATAATAAACACTGTTTACTTTTAGAGAAAAAGACAAAACCAGTTTATCTGAAATGTAGTTGAATGTTGTTACATGAATACACTGTTTTGGGGCAATTGTGTGTCTGGAGCCTTATAAATCACAGTATAAATGCACAGAAAATGCATTTCTAGCTCTGCATCCCTGTGTGGTAGAAAAGAAGCTGTCTAGGTGTGCTCGCATTTCCCTAAGGCACCAGCTTTCAATGGCTTTGTATTCTGCTTCCTGTAGTTTCCGGTAAAGCTTCCTTCAGCTGCAGCCTAAAGCCACAGATGGCTTGCTGGAAACAGGAAAGCGCCTGAAGTCAAGCCACTCTGTATCTGCTGGTACAGCACGCTGTGCACCTTCTCAGCAGTGGTCAACCAGAGACAGGGAGAGATACTATCCAGACAACCTCAAGAAAATGTCAGCCATATAGAATGTCAATTCTCCAAATAACGATTAAAAAATGTATCTAACTCCACTGAAGCCTTCGAGATGTTTTATCTTAGAGAATGTAACTATTTTTTCCCTTATCAGATGGATCTTGGCTTAAGCTTCACTCTTAGGTTTAGTCATTGGAAGGTAATAATTCGGGATTCGGTTACTGACTTTTAATTAAGTAGACCTGGATCTCACTCCTTATTATGGGGTTGTGTTTCCCATATTCCTTTAGCCAAAACATGTATTTTCTCTGAAGAAATGGCTCTTTTGTGTGAGAGAGATATTTCCAATTCAGGGAAGAAAGTTAGAGTGACATTTGTTCTTGGACACAGGGTGTGTCATTAGAGAGTGACTGACACACCTGATTGATGAGGCCAGTGCTGATGGATGAGAGCTGTCTGGGTGGTCCAAAAATGTGTAGCAATGAGGAAATGATGGATTGGTGATGCTAAACATATCAAGGTTAAGATGGCTTATACATTAAAAAAAAACACAATTTCAAAATATCAGTATAGTAAATATATATGACTTTCTGATGCATGGGACTCTATTTCATAGTCACAGAGGTCACCCTTGTTGATATTCCTCTACCACTGAAACACAGAAAGAGTAATGTGGCAATAGCTCCTTTTGGGAAAGAACCCTTCTTTTGTTAATATTGATCATTACATTTTCTCAAAGACATATACACTTGCATTTCATTTTGCATAGAGCAGTTTTGCTATATTTAAGCACTAAAGTGGGGGAATTAGAGCAATTGCTATTTCCTGCACTACACAAATACCTGTTCACTCATGTAATATGATATTCACTTCAATTATTTGACTATTTTGGCCAGGATTATCTGATGATAATTCTCCATTTTCTTTATTCTGTGTGTATATTTTATGAATTGAGCAATGAGCTCTATTATAGTTTGATAGCTCAAACAAACTGTTAATATTAGTGTGTGTATTAGTCTGCTATTACCATGACAGTGCTGCATAACAAACCATCCACAATTCAGTGTCCTATAATGAAAGCATTCATTTTTATCATTTACGGGTCCACGGACTAGCTTGCCTGCCTCTGTTCCAGGCTGCGGGTTGGCTGTAGTTGGCTGTAAAATTGAGTCTGGGTACAAGTCTGCTCCACATGAATCCACTTTTTCTTTGAACCAGCAGTTACTCAACACATGATATCTTAGTGGATCACAGGAGCACAAAGTCCTAGACAACAATAAAGACAAGAACAGAACATAAGCACGTTCAAGGCCTCTGACTGCTTCATGACCACTAATACTCATTCTAAAGCAAGTCGTAGGGCCAAGCTTAACATCAAGTGCACAGAAAAATATACTCTCCATTTTAGTGCAGTGCAAAGAGAGAGACTGAAGACAGAGGGACTGAAGAATTAAAAATCAGTCAAATAAGCTGGGCATGGTGGCATGCATCTGTAATCCCAGCTATTCAAGAGGCTGAGGTGGAAGGATTGTTTGACCCCAAGAATACAAGACCAGCCTGGGCATCATAGCAAGTCCTCATCTAGAAGGAAGGAAGGAAGGAAGGGAGGAAGGGAGGAAGGGAGGAAGGGAGGGAGGAAGGGAGGAAGGAGAAGGAGAGAAGAGGAGGAGGAGGGGAGAGGATAGAAAGAAAGAGAGAAAGAGGGAAGAAGAGAAGAGAAGAGAGAGAGAGAGAGGGAAAGGAAAGGAAAGGAAGAAAAAAGAAGGAGTAAGGGAGGAAGGGAGGGAGGTAGGAAAGAAGGAAGGAAGGAAGGAAGGAAGGAAGGAAGGAAGGAAGGAAGGAAGGAAGGAAGGAAGGAAGGATCAGCCTATCTACCACTCAATCCATGGCAAACACATCAGTGATTTAAGGATACTTGTTTCAGGTTCCCTGGAATGCGGATGTGCTGCCGTATGGCATTAGTCATAGCAGTAGTACTACATAATAAGTGTGTGTAATGGCATTCACTGTGCCCAAGTGCAATTGCCATCTTGCCCTTATGAACTTATTAGTAACAATTAATGAACAAGTAGTGATAAAATATATAGCTTGAATGTTTATAAATAACATTTAGTTTTTGAAGCTGATGTATTCATAGAATAATGCCCAGCAACAGCATTTTCCTGTCTACCTACCTCCAACTCTTCAGCACTCCTACCTGCAGCCCTCACTCCAGCAATGTCCTTTCACCTGGTCTCATCTCCTTCAGTCCCGTTCCCTTACTTGTGAAATGCTGGTTCTGGATCAATTTTTAGATAAGACTTGATTAGCAAGTACATCCTGATTCTACCACTTGTTTGATTAAAAATCATTCAAATAGATCCCATTAACCACAGAACACAGTCTGACAGTCAAACTCTGTATAATCCAGCATTGGAGGCCCTCTATAGAAGACCCCATCGTGTTTTCCCAAATCCTGGTTCTCATTATTCTCCTTCATGTGCCCTGTTGTTTTCTCAGAGTTATGCTTGCCCATGCATATAATGTAAATTCTTGTCCATTTAGCCTTGGATCATAAGATTCTTTCAGACTGGAATTGCCAATGCCAATTCCATTTCTACATGGTTTTATTCTATTTATGCTTCAAGACCCAGATCCAAGTCACCTCCTCCTTGGAACAGTCGAGATCCTTGTAGCCCAAAGTAATCTTCATCTTTTTGCAAGATGTAAGACTTCTGCCTCTTTTACTGAACCTATCATTTTCTAAATTGTGTCATCATTATTTATCTATGTCTTAGCACTACTAATGGACTATCATTTATCTTTTTCTACTTAAATACTAAATACAGTTTCTTGAATATTAAACAATATGTAGTAAATAAATGTATCAATCCATTCACACCCTCAGTCATTGTTCTTCTGTACTATGCATGCCAATAAGCTTAAGTGGTTTCCTTAAGTAAGAGTCAGTTCACACTGTAATCAAAGCTGCTCAAACTCCACAAACTCCAACTCTCTCTTTAATTTGGAGGCCCCGTTCAGATGAGCAGAATCATTAGTCATGTGTGGTGAAGCACTGCGTATTGCTTACGTTTCAGAATAATTTTGTTTTAGATGCCCTCTGTGAATATATCAGGAACTGGGCCTTTGGAAGCATTTCAACTTCAGGAAATGTCTGACTGTGCAAATACTCTATGGTTTCACCTGACTTAGAAGCTATGGACAGGCCAAGCCTGACCTACTAAGTAATATACCTGTAACAAAAATCACCCTGCACGTTTGCCATCCATTGGATTTACAGACAGAGTTGAGGAGAGCCTCCATTGTTCATGTCTCCTGCCAAGGTCCAAGTACAAAATCTTAGTGCCCCCTAATGTTGAAAGCAGTCCTTTCGCTGTGAGCAGAAAATGGAATGAGAAAAATAGACTGAAGGCCAATCCCAGTGAAGTTTAACTCTGGAACTAGCCATGACCTATGTTTGTGTAGAATGCAAGCTTTACAGACACGACTTTCAGCACCAATTTAATCCCTATTCCTACTAGGGCTATTCTGAGCTTATTTCGTCCTCACCATTGCTTTCAAAATTGTCAGTAAATTGTTCATCCCTTTATGCTCTTCTTAAATCATTTCTGAGCTATCTGCTTAGGCCATGGAGTAGACAAAACTAAATCTTATGTTCTGAGGATTTTTTTTTTTTTTGTATTCTTTTATGGTAGACCGTTTAATCATCTTGAGATTATTCTTTATCTCTCCTTTGTAGTTTTATTCTGAATTATAAAATTTTTATCTCAAAGAAGGCCTTTTTATTCTATAAAGATTTTTTCCTTTAGCTTCTCGTGTTTTGGAAAAGAAAAAGTTAAATATAGAGTGTGGCTGAATATAAACTGGACTGCAGTGTTAAATGCCTCTCAGCCTCTTTCTAACACACTGTGTAAATACAAGATTTCTTGGCAGCAATTTTCTTGGTGTGTTGGGTAAATTCTTCATAAATTCAGTTTTCAGTCTGACAGTGTTCATGAAAGTGGAACATAAAAGTAAAACATATGCACATTTTCTACCAGTTTTATTATGCAAAATACTTGATTTTGTATAAAATTGAATTTTTCAAGGCTACGAAAATCTTCAATAAATCACATCAGCAATCCCCAAAACGTATATAGAACCCCACGTGTTTTCCCACTTCTTTCAGCAACTCTGAGTAAGAAGGAGACACCTGAAGGCTCTGCTGTGGAAGCAAAGAGCGAGGGAGGGAAAGATGGGGGGAGGGAGGGGAGAGGAAGGGACGGGGTGGGGTGGGGTGGGGAGAAGGAAGGAAGAAAAGAAAGGAGGGAGGGAAGAAAGGAGGGAGCCCAGGAGGGAATGATCTGATCATGTTCTCAGAGTGTGACAGAAAATGGAAACTATGTTCTTCTTAAAAACGCTCCGTGTACAATGTAAGGTTCGTTCTGTTCGGTCTGCATAGTGATGTGTCTTTGTTTTAATGCAGGGCCTCAGCAAGGATGTGGTGGTTATCTGACAGCCTTGAATAATACCTTTGCCTCTCCTGATTCTGATTCGAATGGACTATATGACAAGAATTTAAACTGTGTATGGATCATAATTGCACCTGTAAACAAAGTAATTCACCTCACCTTCAATACATTTGCTCTGGAGGCAGCAAGTACTGGGCAAAGATGCCTTTATGATTATGTAAAGGTAAGCCTGTTTTGTTTTTTTAACAGAGTCTACTCATCCCAGACTCTAATATAGTGTATTCCAGTTTATATCATTACAGGAAGTCCTGAAACTTGTGAGTACAGGTACTACTGCTTTTTAAAATGACCTATACTTCAGTGATGCAACATTTAATATTATAGATGCTCTATCTTCATATCAAATTAATCTTTAATATGGGTGACTCAGATATTTTGTGTGACTGGCTTCTAACATTAGCATTTAAATCTCCTGTTCATCAGTGTCTTGCAAGAGACGATCTATGGGAAGGTTGGTTTTCTGGAGAGAGATACTCAAAGGACCTTTGGCAAATCCTGAAATAAACAATGTCAGTGACACAAATAATCACCTCTTAATTTGTCTATTTCTTAGGCTTATAGATTTGCTTATCACATTATGTTTAGATATTAAAATGGTTCTGAAATCCCATTAAAAGTAAATCAAGGCTGGGCACAGTGACTCACGCCTGTAATTCCAGCACTTTGGGAGGCCAAGGTGGGCGTATCACTTGAGACCAGGAATTTGAGACCAGCCTAGCCAACATGGTGAAACCCTGTCTCTACTAAAAATACAAAAAGTTAGCTGGGCGTGGTGGCAGGTGCCTGTAATCTCAGCTACTCGGGAGGCTGAGGCAGGAGAATCATTTGAACCTGGGAGGTGGAGGTTGCAGTGAGCTGAGATCTCGCCACTGCACTCCAGCCTGGGTGACAGAGCAAGATTCCATCTCAAAAAAAATAAATAAATAAAATAAGAAAGTAAATCAAGAAACCTCTCTTCAATTTTTAATGACTCCTTAATATTAAATTATTATACCTATCAGGTTATATGGGTTCAGATTACAAGTGTTAAGTAGTATCAATCAATGTTTACTACTGCACTCTCAGGGGAAAAAATAAAAAGTATGGCAAGATTTCTATTTATGACGAGCTTAAGTCTGATTAGAAAATTATGGGATGACACATGCAAATGAAGAATGCACAGTTCAGGAGAGTCAGCATTTAAGCGCTAATGAATGCATTTGATGCAGGCTTGAAGCAATGTGCAAGCTTAAAAGGAAAGAAAGTTCATGAAGTTCTGGCATGATCAAGGAAGACTTGATAGAGCGAGGGAAAACTTAAGACAGGAGAGAATTCAGGCAAGGTGAACATTTTCAAAAAGTCGTAGAACTTGATATGTGCATGTTCTCGAAAGAATAAAGAGGCTGGCTGTATTGAAGCAGAATAGTGCTAAAGAGTAGCAAGAAATAAGATGGCCTATGTAAAGAAATACCAAGATTACAAAGGATCCTGAAAGTCAAACTAATGACTTTAGACTTTTTGTGACTGAAAATAAGGAGTGGTTGAAGGTTTTCCAATGAGTGATGTGATAAGAGCAGTAGCTAGGGAAGACTAACCTGAAATCAGTAGCTGTGGGAACTGGAAGGAGAGGAGGCTGGGAGGGCTCCAGAGAGAGGTCCCTCCTAGGTGAGGAGGTGGATCGGGGGTGCAGCCATGGTGGCAATGGCAAGAGGGGTGCAAGATAAACTCAAGTTCTAGCATTGCAATAAACTTTAAAGAAAATTATTTTAAAAGAAAAGGAAGGAAAATGTGTGGAGGGAATACCCATTTGAGCACTTAATTATATGCTTATGTTTTTACTCTGAAAAGGGCTAAGGTTGAGAGACCAGAAAAATAACAGTGTGGTTTTGGTGAGAGCAAAACAGACAAGTGACACTGCAGTGGGCAGAGAATGGAATGGGGCTCCAGTGAGAAGACAGCTCCATGAATAGAGAGGATGCAGCAAAGAGCCTTCGAAAGGATGCTTTCTTAGAGGGAGTCTGCATGGATTCCAGAGTCAGGCTCTCAGCTCCAGGAAAGGTATCCAGGGAGGCAGTTGGAGAAGGCAAAAGGGGCAGGAAAAGAAACAGATGTGGCATGAAAAAATAAATGTGAAGACCAAGAAGAGTGTAGTATCCCTGAAGTCAAGGGGCAGGGGGATTCTTTTACAAGGCATGGAGGGTCAATACAATTAAATTGTAAAGTAGAGGCCAAGAAAGGAAAAGATGAAGACCAGCCTCATTGCTCTGGATGACAACCATTTTAATAAAGTGTTGGCACAGAAGCTGGATCAGAGGAGTTCATGAAAGACTAAAGATAGCAAGGGATGTCAATTCCGGTTGAATTCTCCTTTCCTAAAATGAGACCTGGCTGGCCGGGTGCGGTGACTCAACATCTGTAATCTCAGCACTTTGGGAGGCAGAGGTCAGCAGATTGCTCGAGCTCAGAAGTTTGAGACAAGCCCTGGCAACATAGTGAGACCCTGTCTCTACAAAAAATACAAAAAAAATTATCTGGGTGTGGTGGTGTGCGCCTATGGTACCAGCTTCTCGGGAGACTGAGGTGGAAGGATCCCCTGGACCCAGGAGGTAGAAGCTGCAGTGAGTCGTAATTACATCACTGCACTCCAGCCTGGGCAACAGAGTAAGATACTTTTGGGAAAAAAAAATAAAAACATTAGCTGGGCACGGTGGTGCATGCCTGTAGTCTCATCTACTCAGGAGGCTGAGGCACAAGAATCGCCTGGACCCAGGAGGTAGAAGCTGCAGTGAGTCGTAATTACATCACTGCACTCCAGCCTGGGCAACAGAGTAAGATACTTTTGGGAAAAAAAAAAAAAAAAGACTGGGAGAGACCAAAATGACTAGAGCATTCCTAAAGCTGAATTCAGAACTGTTGAGAGCTCCCCTGGTTTTACAGAAAGGTAAGAAGGTTTAGAGACAGACGGTATGAGAACTGTAACCCAATTTTGCTGTCAGACAAATTTCCTAATCTTCCTGATTCCTCATCATTTCATCTGTTTTTCTTTAAATCACATAATAGTACCTAACGTGAAAGGCAGTTTTGAGGATTAAAATTACGTGTACTAGAGCATTTAGCACTGTACCTGACATAAATTGTAAACAAAATTACCTCCCTTTTTTCCCCCCTTGGAGTAATTCCAAATAGGCATGGGCACTATGGAATTTCTTTTTCTTAAAAACTAAAAATAATGGATTTGCATATAAAATTACAATTTTAAATTCTTATGGAATGTTTTGAGTATGGCCCTGCTAGAAGAGTTGATTGGATTTACTCTCAAGATCCATTTATATGGAGTGTGATTTGATAATGTCATCAAAACAGCTTGTCATTTTCTGAATTTCTGCAATTCATTCAGGTCAGAAACTGCAATATCAAAAACAAGGAGTTATTTTCTTGCTTCAAAATAAAATATCATTTTTTTCAAATAAATTCTGTTCAGAACTATTCTTGTTCTCCCTCTTGGAAAAGCAATTTCCTTCAACTGGCAACATTTCCAACTACCAGTTAACTGGCACATCAAAGAATAGCCCTTGGAATGTGGAGCGTGGAGCTTTCTTTATTAAAGAGATTTTTCTGTGATAAATGGGACATTTGATTCCCTTTAGATTTGTTTTAGAGATTATAATCAAATCACTTATTAGAAAAGCTCATTTAACTGAACTCTGTGTTAGCTATACAAGTAAAATCATACCAATTCCATTATTCATTCATAATTCTATCATGATTGTTTGTGAAAGGGTTGACTTGGAGAGTAATTACAGTAACTGAATCACCTAGTGAATTGTGCATGGCACTGAGCGGTCTCTGTCGAAATCCACATCATATCCATTGCAGAAGGAGTTAGTTGGCAAGGGTATGTGCCAGACCCTGTACCAGCATCACTGGAGATGTACACAGTTAAAGACATATCTTGAAGAGTTCAAGCTCCTTGAGGAGCTACTGGTAAAGTGTAGGAGACTGACATGTAAGCAAATAATATACATTTAAACAATTACATTTAAAGTACAAATAAAATACATTTAAATAATGGACATTTTTGTCACGTTGTATAACATGTTGTATAACATGACCAAGATCATAAACAGAAACAACATGAAAGGGCAGAGCAGAAGAGGCTCTGATTGGCTGTGTTTTGGGGTTCAGGAGAGGCTTTCTAGAGGGGGATGGCTGAGCTGGGATTTACAAAATGAAGAGAAACTCACTCCTTTTTGTTTTCCTTTACAAAACTGAGAGGCGTATGAACCTAGCTGACTTTTCTGCCAGGAAATACGGAACCAGCAGAGAGATGTCCTCATCCTAACATTGCCCGGTTTTTTCTCAACCCCACCAGTGTCCCTTTTCTTTCTCCTTTTCTTTTTTTATTGAGATGAAATTTCTCTCTTGTCACCCAGGCTCAAGTGCAATGGTGCGATATTGGCTCACTGCAACCTCTGCCTCCTGAGTTCAAGTGCTTCTCCTGCCTCAGCCTCCCAACTTGCTGGGATCACAGACATGCACCACCATGCCCAGCTAATTTTTGTATTTTTATTAGAGACGGGGTTTCACCATGTTGGCCAGGCTGGTCTCAAACTCCTGACCTCAGGCGATCCACCTTCCTTGGCTTCCCAAAGTGCTGGAATTACAGGTGTCACTGCCCCTTTTCATAGCCAATATTCTGTAATGCTTCCTTTCCCACCTGAAGTGAATGTCATCTATGGTATAACCTACCCATAATGTAATTTCAAAAAATTACTATACTGCTGGGTGCAGTGGCTCACGCCTGTAATCCCAGCACTTTGGGAGGCTGAGGCAGGCAGATCACCTGAGGTCAGGAGTTCGAGACCAGCCTGACCAATATGGTGAAACCCCATCTCTACTAAAAATACAAAAATTAGCCGGGCATGGTGGCGGGTGCCTGTAATCTCAGCTACTCAGGAGGCTGAGGCAGGGGAATCACTTGAACCCAGGAGGCAGAGGTTGCAGTGAGCCAAGATCAAGTCATTGCACTTCAGCCTGGGGGACAGAGCAAGACTCCATCTCAAAAAAAAAAAAAATCACTATCCTATGCTAAAGGCAATGAAAAGGAGAAATAAAAGGAAAGTATATAAAATAGTGTGTCTTCACATATGTAAATATAGAATGGTGGTGAATAAAAAGTATAAA